AACCGAAGCAGCTCCAATGCTTAACTTTTCAGGTCGTGGTCTATGACTACGCTTGAGGGAGCGCATGTAAAAACAACACTCCCGTTTCTTCCTCACTTGTGAACGCGTGAAATTTGATGTAATTCCCTAATTAAAGCGCTAGAATGCTGAAATTTTCTGAGTATGCTTCGCGATCGTATTTACTGGAAATCCTTGTAGTAATGTGTGACGATGTGGTGGCCATCCTCAATTCGTTTAGTTAAGATTACTTGCCGGAAAAAAACAATGCTACTTGGCAGCAGACGAACTATGCAGAAAACAGACTTTCGCACTGGCAAGTCTGGTGCTCGTAGATGCTAGGTAAAAAGAGAGTTACTTTGTTGTAAGCAGCGCGACGAGGACGACGATGATGACGAGAATGGTGCGACGAGTTTCAGACGAGAGCTGGACGAATGCTGTTGTGCTGTGGTGCGTAGCTGACAGAGGCTGGAGTAAACCAATAAACTTTATTAACACAAACACTAGATTACAAGTGATTCGTTGGGGCGAGGGAAATTAAGTCGGGCGATTGCAGCGACAGCCGCTGCGGACGAAGTGTGCTAATAACGGGATTGCAGCACCACACTGCTGCACTGGACCTCCGGACGCGAAACGTAGGGCACACTGAATGCCAGCGATCCGAAATACTGAAGACACGGGGAGGTAACGTTGAAAACTGTGGGAATAGACGACGACGACGACACGGAAAACGCTGTCGATGATGATGCTGAACATATACACACTATACACAGAATATTACAACAATTTACACGCTTAAATACTCATCACAAGGGGCGGGACAGATCACGGGTCAAACTGCTGCGTGTTTCTGGATTGTTCCTTGCTTCTCCTGCTCGCCACCTTTTGCTCGCTCTACATGCCGCCTCCTGTTGAAGCTCGGACCCAGAGCTCTGCGGTTCTCTGCACGATACGGATGCGTTCGTTGCTGCGTTGTTTTGGCCACTGCATCTCGTCCTCGTTTCCTCTGCATTGTTCGAACTCTTGGTTCCCTTTCTAGTTCGGCTGCGTCTGCGTCCTGGGCTGCCAGATCAATGCGAATCTGGTAAAAATATTTTAGTGCTGCGGCAAATCTCCTCGCTCCGACGGTAGTCCAGTTTCCATTGTCAGAGCAATACTTGCCGTCTCTCCAAAAAAGTTGTTGTCCCGTTTCAAATACCAGATCAATTTCTTCGGGTCCATCTTGCCAACCCGCAAAGATCTAAGAATGGTCCGCATACTTCCGCCTCATTGCCATAAACCATTCTTTTATTTTCTGCAGTGCTTGTTCGTGGCCCTTTACGAATGGTGGTGCCATGATCACTGCCTGCACATCGGGACATTTCTGTAGCGCGGCTACTATTTCTTCAACATCTTGTTCTTTTGCGTCTATATCCAAAAGAAAAATTCCAATTCCAGTGAAGGGGCTCATTTTCCAAGGGCTGCTTGTCAGTTCGCTCCCGTTGCTAAACTGCAGTTGCTTCCCTACTGCTTTTACAGCTACATGCTCGCTTTCCGCCAGCACTTTGCTCAATGTGCACGCTCGTGCTCCTCCAAATACTGCAACTCTTGCTTTTGTCGCGCCTCTGGATCGGTTCACTTCTGTTCGAACTTTCTCAGTCGCTTTAACAAACGGATCACGCTGCGCGAATATACCTCGGTATGCAGAATACATGGGTATTCCAAACGTTTTTTTCATTGCCTGCTGCCGATGAGGACAGCTCTTTGCCAAAGCCGCAATGGCTTTCCGCCATCCTTCTCTGCTACAACGGGTATGTTGTACGGGTCCTTCCGCGAAAGTGTTTCTTTTTTCTCCACTTTTTCGTCGGAATCCCACAAAGTTGTCGCTTTTGCCAACTCCTCCACTTTTCGGAACGGAGGTTTGGCAAGAGCGTCCGGTAGAAATGCGTCTACCACGCTCCCCAGTGTGACTCCATTCCGACACACTGCTGCCGTACATTCACGGCTCTTCCCCATGATCGTTTCCTCCACAATCAATGCTCTGCGGGGTCCTTGTCCCCGTTCGAACATCACTTGAGCGACTGCTCTGGGTCTGAAATTGTATCTATATACTTCTGTTCTCCGTGTTTTCTTTCTGGGACTCTTTCCTAACTTTAAGGGTCTACGAGCCCTTCTCCTCCGTGATGCACCTAGCAGATATTCCTCTTCCACCACTTTCTTGGGAATTTTCTGCAGGTGGTCCAACTGCACCTTGAACGCTTACTCTCTTCCCCCTATCAGCTTTGCTTTGGCACTATTGTCCGTCATCGCCAAGATGCGGTATGGTCCCACGAATTTATGGCTGAACTTGGGGTGCCGGGTCTTTCTGACCTCCGTCGGCATATACACTAGTACCCGTTCTCCTATTCGAAACGGGCTAGCTTGCACGTGGTTACGCGCATCATAATACTACTTTGCTCGCGTTTCCATTGCTTGCAACATTTGCGCTCTCCAGAGTCGAGATTTCTCTAGCGCGTTGGTACCTAATAGCAACGGTTCACCAACCCCATCCTCTGCTTCCACAAACATCTCTACGGGTCTTTCCTCTCGACCCCATCTTATTCTCCGCTTTATGCTACCTCGCAATTTCATTCGACGCCCTGACGCGTCTCTCACTATTTCGTTCCCCATTTCCCGCAACTCCCTGGTTAGGTCCTGCCCGTGGCGTGTTCGATAGCCTGAAGGGCCCTGGGTTTTATCAGTGACACCATGGCTCCGCTATCTATTAATGCCGCCAACGGCACTCCCTCACAGGACACTTTCACCACCAATTTTCTACCAACTAGCATATTTTCAGGACTGGGCTGATTCTCCGCCACATTCTCCACCTGTAACACGATTGGGGAGGCACTCATGACTCCTTTCTTCTGGAGGCGGCTAGTCGGTGTACCGACCCCGCTGGACAAACCCATGCCGCACGAAGTACGTGATATCCTTCCCCCTCGGCACTGTTGCCGAATCTTTATGTGGCTTCACTGCTGGTTTAACATTCCTGTGTCCACCGAAGTTGGACCCCAGACTCCTACCAGCTCTCATATCTTGAAGCGAGGCCTTTTACAGGGCTGTTGCGCTCTTTCACTCCTGCCTTACCACTGCCTCGCCACACCTTACCCTTTGGCGTTACGGCTCCCTGGTTATCATCACAGGCTAGGCTCCTTCTAGCCCTCTCATATTCTAAAGCCACATCCTTCATTGTGCTACGCAGTTGACCCTCTTTGGCCTGGGATATGGCTGTTAAGAGGCGTGTTGTGAGCTGTTTGAGCCGTCACATTTTAAAGGCGTGTTGTGAGCCGTCACATTTTAACGCCTGTATAACTACACCACATTTCTTTTCATCCAACACGTTTGGGTCTACGTACATGGTACTCGGGTACTCAGCCGCTACTTTCTTATCCACCAGGGCAAAGAATTCTACCAGAGGCTCTCCATTACGCCACTCTATTTTACTTAACTCATTCTGTAACATCAACCTGGTGACTAGGGACTTATCTACCAGCGCCTTTTTTAATGCAGATACTACTTCTGCGAAAGTCTCCTCTTCTCGGATGTGTACGGGGATCCCCAGGAATGCATTCAGTGCTAATCCTGTTAATTAGGACCGCAAGTACCGTACTTTCGTTCCATCCGATTCGTACCCATAACGGAGACTGAATTCCTCAATGAAATCTTGGAATTTGGCCTCAGTCCTGTTCCCCTTCCCAGAGAACTTCTCTAAGGCCGGAAGCTGTGTCTGCATCCGCTGCATATACCGCAGCAGGAGTTGCTCAAACGCAGCGCTTACACTCTCGGCATTGCTCTGTTGGGCTATGCCGCTTGCACTTGCACCTAAAGGCATGTCACTCGAAAGCAAAGACTCACGCGATTGACGTGCCTGTGGATACGACTGGACGCCGGTTGTTCTGGCTGCTTCTGTTTGGCTGCTGTCGGTTCCTCCGTGTTTCGTCCTGCAACTCAATACTTTTAGCCAAACGCAGCCTTCCCCCACTGCTAAAAGTCTTTGGCTGTTCGGCGCATGTATCGCTGTCTCCTTTGGGGTCTTCTCCCAGCAATTTTCCGATCTGCAATTGAAGCTGGTTATTCACCTCTCTCAGCCTCCTTACCTCTTGCTGGGTTCCCCGCAAGGCTTTTTGCAACTCGTCTACCCGAGCTTGCGCCTCAGTCTCGGCCGCGCTGCTCTCGCGAAGCAAGGGTGTCACAACTTTGGGCGACTTATAGCCTGTCGCCTCCCAATTCTGCGCGTCATACAGCTTCCTCCACAACTGTGACGCGGATTCTACGCCGAACTGCTGGGCTACAGCAGTCAGCTCGCCACTGGTTCTCCCCAGTGCTCCTTCTGTTCTAGCCTGTTGCAAGTCCAGTAGGACCTTAGCGGCCTCCCGCTGCTTTCCTTGCCAGGCAGCATCTACAGCCTCCCAGGGCTGAAAGCACTCTTTTACTGCTGTGGTGGTACTCTGGGTGGCCACCACTCCTTCCATCACTCGCGCCTGGACCTCCTCCAGGGCATCACTAACTTCGTTTACGCTCCCCACACGGAGCCAATCTATCGCCCATCCTACCTTGCCCCAAAACTCCTCCGAAAATCCACTCACCTCTCCGCAGTCGAAGCACCCACTGCTCACGGCGAACGAGGCTCCATCCCCACGCTGATCGCCGTCTCGCGAGCTCCCTCGTGAGCCTTCGCTAACCATCGCCATTGCCTGTCGCACGGGCCGCAGGGCAACTGCTGTTCCCGTGCTAGCAGCTCACTGCTGCTCCGCCCTTCTGGCTTTCTTATACGTTCCACCGGGCTCGCTGCGCTTTTACCGCTTTTCTCCGCTTCTTTCCTGGGTTGCCTTAAAATCGCAATCTCACCGGCTCAGCCCCCATGTTGTAAGGAGCACGACGTTGGAACGACGATGACGAGGATGGTGCGACGAGTTTCAGACGAGAGCTGGACGAATGCTGTTGTGCTGTGGTGCGTAGCGGACAGAGGCTGGAGTAAACCAATAAACTTTATTAACACAAACACTAGATTACAAGTGATTCGTTGGGGCGAGGGAAATTAAGTCGGGCGATTGCAGCGACAGCCGCTGCGGACGAAGTGTGCTAATAACGGGATTGCAGCACCACACTGCTGCACTGGACCTCCGGACGCGAAACGTAGGGCACACTGAATGCCAGCGATCCGGAATACTGAAGACACGGGAAGGTAACGTTGAACACTGGGGGAATAGACGGCGACGACACGGAAGACGCAGTCGATGATGATGCTGAACATATACACACTATACACCGAATATTACAACAATTTTACACGCTTAAATACCCATCACAAGGGGCAAGACAGATCACGGGTCAAATTGCTGCGCGTTTCTGGATTGCTCCTTGCTTCTCCTGCGCGCCACCTTTTGCTCGCTGTACAACTTCCTTGCAGTATTACTTCATCAAAGAAATGCCAACCGAACCACCAGCACCCCGTCTCTCCTTATCTCGGCTCTATGAACACGAACAAAACCCGCCACACGCGAAAGCAACCGACCGCCCCACGTGCCAGAAAACAAACGGCCAGCCGCTTACGCAAATCGCATCGGTCTCTGATTGTCTCCTCAAAAACAATACACTTTCCCATCCTCTAATTCTCTGCCACTACAAGAATGTGCTATGCGTCTAGTATCTTTTCCAGTTCTGATCCGTAGGCGTCCGTCAACGAGTCAGAACAGTCCTGTCAGTTCGATAGCTGCGACAAGGTAAGTCATTGCTCTGTGAGCTCCCGGAGAAATGGCGAAGAGGCAGTGGGTACTGACTGGAGGTAAAGCACCGCAGGGTCGAACGACCGGGCGGAGTTGTACCCGGAAACACGAAAGCATCCAAGTAAAATTACTAACATGGAATACCTATACTGATAACACTGACATTTTTGTCAGTTCTGCATTCAAACAATCACCTACACAGTGCAGTTACTGGTTCCCAATGCGCGATAAAAGTAATTGGATAATCAACGAAAATGGTGCAGCGACCTTCGATTTTACTGTTACAACTAATTCACCGGGCGTAGCCTTGCTCCTTCCCCTTTTTCCGCTGCTTTAAGGTCAAAATCAAAATCCAATCCGTATTTATGCTCTGTGAGAGGTGAAGGCGTTCGGAAAGTAGCCCGAATGGTAGCAAAATCTAACAATCAACCATTTGCCAACAAGGCTATCGATGGATGCCTGTTCTGAGAGTTGCTTACAAGCAAGTTGTTGACGAGTTTGACTCACTGGCAAGCATTAGTACCAGTAATTTGCCACTGGAATGAATGTAAAAGGGGAAATGGTTGTTTTGCCCCATTAGCGGATGGAGCGTCAAGATTTTGCTAGTAGGCTCCCCGGCGCCAACATTTTGCTACTATGTTCCTCAGCCAAGTGCCACTCCAGAACCGCGGTACCAACCCTCACGCAAGTCTGGGCCCCACGTACCAGGGGGTGAAAGT